AGCCCTCGCCCTCCTTCCAGTTTGGGCACAAACTTTGGAAAACAAGCGAGGAGGCTGCAGCGGGATGGGTGCTGGATCACAGGAAGGGCAGAGGCCGCCCTGTGCCCTGTGCCCAGTGCCCTACCCATGCAGCTCCCACAGCCTCTGCTGGCTCAGACATCGGCCCTCCCGCTCACCATGGTTATTTAATTCCCTTTTGCCATGTTCCCACACAAGTCTGAGGGGCTGGTGGGCTCTGTATTTGTATTCCTGAGCCTTGGGCTCAAGGCTTTGTCAGCAGTGGCCCTGGCAATGAGGCCTGGCCTGCAGCTCGCCTGGCTTTGGAGCACTCCTCCGCAGATCCAAAACGTGTTTTGAGTTGCACTGAATAAATACTTGGTCTTTATATGCCTGTTAATAACACTCCGCCTATAATTCTCTCTTCCCATACACCATGATTACACACGCACCAGCCCCGGGTAAGCACCAGCCCTGCAGTAACTTTGTCCTTCAGCAGTAAAATAACGGGTTTTGCACAGCACAGCCCAATTCCGAGAGCTGAAAGCTGCTAACCTGTTCCCTTAGCACACCCAATATGCAAGAAAAAAGATGCCTAAGTACATAATTATTATCCTATCAAGTGTTCCTACTGCCTGCTGCTGTTTCAACCCCAGGTACCACTTCTGTGTAAGTGGAAATCCAGGGCAGTGATGGAGGTGCTGGAGGGCAGGGGACGCGGCTCCTGCGGCAGAATGGCTCCGTCTCGGGGTTACGTTGGCAAAACCCCCTAAGGCAATCCAGATTTTGACTTGCATGAAAGCTGACTTCTCTCTTTAGAAACCTTCAGCGTTTGCTACTTATACCAAATACCCCAAATATGCTTAAAACATACTCGTCGACCTTACAACAGGCAGTATCACGAAGGGCACTCTTCAGCATCGCACACAAGCACATGGCAGAGGGTTTGCTGCTGCCTTCGCTGCTGTCAGCATTTCAATCACCCCGCTCCTCAGCTCATTTTGATGATTTCTGCATAACGTATAAAGCAGTCACTTACCAAACGGATGGGGAGCAATGCCAGTTTGCTGTTGTCCATAACACAGTAGTTACCATAATATTAATACTCAGATAAAGGAGAATCATTCATCAAAAAGAAATCCGCATGCTGTCACCCCATGTATTTAGCACTTTCTCTAATGAAAGTCTTTGCGGCAGCGATGGAGACGGAGTTTCTGCCCAGGATTATTAATTGTGGTCATTTTGCCCGGACGGGTCTCACGAGCAGCACATATACATCTCCCCCGTCCATGTAATTACCGACGCTGCTCACGAAACAAGCCCTTCAGAGTACCTGCAGCTGTTTCCTTAGCTTAATGACATGGCACGCTTTGGCAGAACCATTAATATCTTGCCAGCCTCACCTAACCTTTGAGCTGGGTGGAAGGCGGCCAAAGTACGCTGCCGGTTGGATGCGGAGGCGGCCGCCACGCGCAGCCTCGCTGCGGCACGTCACCCCGCGGGGACACCGCACACGGCCAGCCTGCTGCCTGGCCGAGCTACACCTCTGTCTGAAGGGTGTGCCTGCCTCGTCAGCTGGGCCCTGAAACAAATGGGCTGACCCCGGAGCACCTCTCTCACCCAAACAGTCATGTTCCTCTCTCCAGTCGCCATTGGAGTTAAATGGTCAAAGCTGGTAAATGGAAGAGCCCCGATACGACTGCTGTCAGGTGGGGACAGGAGGTCTGGCAGTGCTCCTACAGCGCAGGAATGACAGAAATGCAATTTCTTGCAAGCCACAAGTTTGATTTTGAAAATGAGTGTGTCAGAAGTTAAGGCGCTGACAGTTCTCGTCGGGGGAAGATGCCTGCCGGGCATCGCAGCCCTGCCGGTTGCTCCCTGCTCTCAGCCAGCATCGCACGTCACCGAGGGACGGAGAGCCTAACACTTTAAGTGAGCTCCATCAAGCAGCTCTTACTTATTTTAAGTGAGAAGAAACCACTGCCAATCTCGCCAAGCAAACATTTGCTCCCTAAATGCCGGCGATGAAGCACGCAGGCAGCACAGAGCTCTGCAGCGAGCAGCACCGCGGCTCCCGTTTGACCCCAGCCCGTGACCGACAGCCAGACACTCCACCAGAGCCAGACCCTGCCCTGGCCAACTATTAAATCATTTCAAGATTTAATCCTGGACCATGATATATACTTTGAATTCGTCTCCATGGGCAGCAGGCCACGGTTAACCGCTCCTTGGAGCGGAGCAGGAGCACTGCGCCCATCTCCTCTAAATCACGCCAGCCTGGAGAGCCAAGTGATTCAGAAGGAAACAAATTTAACTTCCCAACGCAGCGAGCATGTTCTGCAGAAAGCAGGAGCCCACACGCCCGAGGGCGAGGTACAAGCCTGGGCAGACCGTGCTGAGGCACGACGTGTTATATATACTGCCAAAGGTACCGGGTATCTGGCATCTGTCTGTCTCGGCAGTGTACGTAGGAACACGCCAGCGATGAGAAGGGAAAATACAGACTCTGACACACTCCCACCCGTGCACAAGTCCTGGAGGCTGCAGGGACAAGCTTTTATCCCCACTGCCTGCAAGGAGCCTGTCTGTGGGCAGCACCATTCGCTCGGCAGGGCCATGCAGCTCCAGGTCACCTCAGCGCTGAAGCCCCGTTAAGGAGACAAGCTGGCCGAGCCACCTCCTGCCTTGCGAGGGCTTTTTTAATTGACTGCAGAACGTGCAGATATTATTTTTTCAGAAAACACACGCCATTGATTGTAATTACCATCCTCGGAGATGCAATGGGAAGAAAATGAAAGCCATTAATGCTGATTTTGACTTCATTAGAAGCAGCAGTGGAACTGCGAGCACGAGGCATTGCTTCCTGCGCACCTCCGCAGCCCCGAAGAGCCATAAATCTTGGCAAGGCACCTTTGTGACTGCTTCTGATACGGGCAGGAGGTGGGCAGGGAGAGAAACCCCGGCAGTGGGCTTCCTGCAGCCACCTGATGAGGTCGGTCTGAGCGTATCACCAACCTTTAATCCCCTTTGAGAACTGATGGGATTTCTCCTCCAGCACACGCAGCTAATGCAGCGTGACCCGGCACATCAGACCAGGCTTGTAGATGGCCTGAACACGGCTGCGGGGCCCATCCCAAAAGAAACCATCCCCTGGGAAGCCAGGAAGGATGCACATCCACACGGCCCAGCTGTAGCAAGGCGCCGCGAGCTCCACCCGGCCTTCCTTCCCTTCCACCTCGCCTGGCTAGGGACGGGAAATGCTCACCCTTTGTAACGGAATTGGTATCTTTCAAGTGCTTCTTTTTAAAGTCTCATTCTCAAAAACATCACAAAGGAGACACAGCAGAGCTGTGAAGCTGAGAAGTGCAGCCTGCCACCCTCCCCAGCACTCCGCAACAACCGCACGTCCAACGGTGGCACAGCAGGACCAGGCTGCAGCAGGGCACAGCCTCCCCGCAAAGCACCATGAAACCCAAGGAGAGGTAACCACCCGCAGAGAAACAACTCCTCTCCAGTTTCACACTTGCTCAGGATTTTGTTTTTCTCAATAAAACATCCACACTGGGCTCCTGTTAACATATACCAGCCGAAGACACGCTTCCACTCCCAGCAGCAGCAGTTCCCCACCTCGTCCCCGTTGACGAGATCATTCCGTAGTACACCAAGCAAGGCCTTCGCACTGAAATTTCTCTTTTTTCCCTTTTTCAAACATATTCGTCTCACAGTTGGAGCCAACCAGCCCATCGTCTTACTGCCTAGGTTCACCTCGCGGTTTCCATGCTGACAAACGCTGCGGTTTCCAGCAGGCCAGACAGCGTTTTGTTATAAATAGCGAGATGCCGAACCTTAGGAAAATGTCAGGGTCACGAATGAAAACAAACTATCAGAAAGATTTTCTCTTCAAGCTGATTGCAGCGAGCCTTTAAGGCATTGCATCCCTCTGTCCCAGTGTCACCTCTGACATCTGCTGTCACTCCAAACCCGTGCCATGGGAGGTCTGTGGGACTAGGAGGTGCCACCCGGCCACGTGTCCCTCCCCAGCAGGGCCTGAGAGGACTTTGGTGGAGACAAAATGCACCTCTCCCATGGGGAAATCGGAGCAGCAGAGCTTGGATTCCTCCTCCTCCCATTCTGGGTGAGGGTGGATCCCAGTCCTGCAGCCTCCAGGAGCATCCCAGGCTCCTGTGGGACAGGAGCGTGCCCAGACAGAGGGGAGCAAGACCATCCCAGCACCACAACCCACACGAGCTGTTGTTCTTGGAGCTCCAAGAACTCTGTTTGGGGTTTGGGTGGAAGACCAAGGACAGGGGGGTTTCCACCTGGGCTGCAGGCAGGGAAGGAGACCTTCTGTGGGCACAGCGCCGGGTGCTGGGCCCAACGGCACGGCCACACACCCTGGCTCGGTGGGGTGAGCCCAGGCAAAGCTTTAGGGGCGAGATTCCTTAGGTGAGACCTCACCTCGCAAAGCGTAACCGGAGGCAAAGAGTTTCCAGCAGCGCTGCTGCTTCCGGCAGCCGGGGCAGCAGGAGTTTATCTGATAGCGCTGCAGAGGAAAGCCTCGGAGCCACAAGAAAAGCACTTTTTTTTTTTTTTTTTTTTTAAAGAAAAAATAAAGCTGCATGAATGGCAGGAATGAAGGCGGTTACCTGTCTAGGCTCCTCTGAGCACCGAGGCCACCCCATTCAGCCCTGGAAGGAGAGCCCCGCACGGCAGCTCTCCTTCTGCTTCGGGAGATCATTCATCCCTGCCAGCACCCGCCCGCATTTTTCAGCAATTAGTGGCCAGGGGAAACCCCCCCCAGCTCTCGGGGGCCAGATGACTGCACAGGATGCCCGGGGACCGAGGCAACCCCGGCGGAACCGAGCCCAGGCTGCGGGGCGTGGGCGCCGGGGCTCGCTCCCAGCTCCCCGCTGCCACCGCGGCCGCGGGGGGGGGGGGGGGGCTTCTCGCCGGCTCCCCCAAACCCCCCCAAACCCTCCCCCAGACCCCCGAGCCCCACTCACCGAAGCGGGGTTCGCCCGCTGCCCCCTCTCCTGCTCCCGGCACTGCAGCCCCGCCAGGTGCCTCTCCAGGGCCGCCCAGTCCATGGCCGGGGGCTGCGGGTCCCGGGGGGGTTGCGCCCCGTTCCCCCGGAGCCCCCCGGAGCCTTTCCGAGCCCCCCGGCGCCCCCCTCCCGGCCCCGCCGCTCCCCCCCCGGCTCCCCCCCGTTGCTGCTGGGGGGGGGGAAGCGGCGGGGGGCGCTGGTGCGGCCGCGGCCGGGGGGCTCCGGGCTGGGGGGCGCCGGGGGGGGGGCGCTTCAAGGAGCCGGGGGAGCCGCTGCGGGGAGCGGGCGAGGAGCGGCGGAGGGCATCGGCGGAGCGGCAGGGAGGCGGCGGGGAGGGCAGGGAGCCCCCGTCCTCCTCCTCTTCTTCTTCCTCTTCTTCTTCCTCCTCCTCCTCCTCCTCTTCCTCCTCCTCCGAGTCGCCCAGCGCCGCCAGGTCCAGGCTGCTGGGGGACGGCGAGGACTTGCAGTCGGAGCACGGCGTCACTTTGCTCGAGTTGGACTCGGAGCTGGAGCGGCTGCTGCCGGCGTCGCTCCCTAAATCCATGCCATCCTCGCGGGGGTCCTGCCGGGGGAGAAGCGAGAGGCTCCGCGTCAGGGATGCCCAGCCCCGACCCGAGGCCACCGGGGTGGGGTGGGGGGAGAAGGAAAGAAGCCGGGATTTGTTTTTTTTTTTTTTTTTTTTTTTTTTTTGGGAGGGGGGGGGGGAGGCTGCCCCCGAGCACCGGAGCCTCCGCCGAGCCGCCCCGACGCCGCCGCGGGGCGGCCGGGAGGCGGCGCCGGCCCCGCGATCGCAGCGCCCCCGGCGGCTGCCGGGCCCCGAGGGCGGCCGGTGGGGAGGGGGGTGAGGGAGGAGGACAGGAGCTTTCTTCCCCCTCCCCTTTTAAAAAAACAGCTCGAGGGGCCTCTAAACAGCCCTGCTCCAAAAGCAGGATCCTCCCCGTGTACGTTCGGGGGGGCTGAAGGGGTGTCCCACCCGCAGGTGCCCCCATCCCCATCCCGAAATCGGCTCCGGGGAGCTGCATCCTGCCGGGTGCTGGATGACAGAGACACCAAACTTCTCACAGCCACAGGGGCTGGTGCAGGGAGAACCGGCAGCCCGCCTTAATCACGGTTTCAGTTCTAAAATTCGGTCATTCAATTGCATTTGGAGTTTGTTTTTTGACAGAAGGATGGGGACCTAAGTGAGACGCACATCCCTATGGCTGCACGGGGTTTTAAAATGCCACCCTGCGTGGGATTGGGAAGGTAGCGCCTGACACCGATGCGTCTGACATGGGACAGACAAACAGGGCCAGGGTGGATGTTTGGCTTGGCAGAGCTGGTGGCAGTGCCCGCAGCTCCCTGTGCCAGCTCCGCGTGCCCTGCTCGCACACGGGGGGCCTGGCACGGCCCTGCTGGTTCTTCTAAGCACCATAAAGGGAAGAGGGGAAGCAGGAGAACATCTGCAGCTGCTTAAGTCCCGTGACTTTTGAACTTGCTGTGCAGCTTCTCATCCCCAGCAGATGACAAACCTCTCCCGGAGCAGCCGGGGGAGGCGTTGGGCGATTGCCTTGCACAAAGCGGGGCCAACGCGGAGGTCCCAGGAGCATCGCCCACAGGCTGGTCCCAGAGCTTGCACTGACTGGGATTGTATGGCCAATTTTGGGGTCCTGTTGTTCTCCCATCCCTCTGGTGACAGGGGACAAGTGACACAGAGGTCCCAGAAATAGACACCGGCTGTGACAAACCTACCCCGTGAGCTCTTCTGGGCAGACGGAAACACCTGCACCTGGTGGTGTGGGAGATCCTGGGTCCCAGACACAGCTCAGTGACCAGTGAAAGCTTGGTCACAAAGACAGGATCTCTCTGGACATCACCAGGTGCTATCCAGGCTCCAGCATGGAGTAAATCCTGGCACACTCCAGCTAACCGAGAGCAGCCGTGGCCGGGGCTGCTTCCCCCATCCCACCCCATCCTGCTTCCCTGCCCTGGCTGCTGGCACCTGCCATGGGACCCATAAAATCAGTGACTGTGCAAAGTGCACTAGTAAAAATAATCCCAGTGAATGGCAGGAGGGAGCAAGAGTTAAGCCTCCATCCTGGAAATGGATCGCAGTGCAAAAATCTGTCCCAGTTGCACAGCTCTGTGGCTGGGGGGGGGGTGTGTTTGACATATTTTGTGGGGCGTATTTCTGTATTTGAGCGTATTTCTGTATTGCAAGGCGGGGGAGCAGCCTGATCGGTTCCAGTCTGGTAGTCACAGGCTGCGGAAAGCTTTATTTATAGGATCTCACGGCGCGCGTGATTGATTAGGAAGATTTCTTTCCTGCGACAAGTGTAAGGCTAACATCGTGTGGAAGAGGAGGGAGCTCCCCTGCTGCGAGGCACACTGACTTCTTGGGGCACTGCCTGTCCAGGCAGGACTCTGTGGATGCTCACAGTCCTTTCTGTGGTCACCTGAGTTACCTTTGCACTTCCAATGAATTCAGGTTTCATGCCAAAAAGTCACCACAGGCACAGCAATGTAAGGTTAACACCTCCAGCAGCCACTGGAGCGTCCCAGGGACACCAAGCCCTTGGTAGAACCCCAGGTGTCTCATTCTAAATGAAACCAGCTAAGTATGGGTGAAAAAAAAAAAAATTAAAAAAAAAAAAGAGAGGAAGACGTGTCCAGTACCTGAAGAAAAGCAGCCCCTGACAAAATGGGGTCTCACCCTTTGGCTTACAGGGAACAGTTCCTTGTCCCCCGTCCCTGCCAACCCACAACCGGGCCTTCCTTCAAGCATGGGCATTCCCTCATTAGGTTAATCAGAACACATGTGCCTGATGATTGTCTAAGTTTCTCTTTTTTTAATTATTTTTTTTTCACTTTCTCTGCAGACAGATGCAGTTGTTTTACCCTTGTAAAGTAGGCCCTCTGCATTCCTAATTACAGATGGGGGCTATATTTCCACTTGACCCTTCAGAAGAAGCTGGTTATTGTTATTCACAACACACATGTAATTTCTTCTCCTTTACAAGCCTACATCAAATAAGTTGCTTCTCCAAAGCGATGAACGGCTTGAAATTCCTATGAATTTTAAGGGGTGGAGGGTGTGAACACAAGCCCTTGTAGATGAAAGAATGTGCTTTACAGTTATTTTATTCAGTGTAAAGGAGGTTTTAATACAAACAAGGCTGGTTGAGTTGATTCTGAAACAGAAATATATCACAAAAATAGAGTCCTTACTACTTCCCCTGAATGAATGCAGGGCCAATTTAAAAGGCAGCTTGCTTATTATCATAAGCTATTAAATTTACTTCATTTTTACCATTTTGGCACTATTCTTTCTCACGCTAACCTGCAGAAGCTGTTAGGGAGGGGAAGGAGGGAGGCAGGGACAGCGAAGGCCCAGGCAGCCCCTTGGGGCCTGTACGCCCAGACCCAGAGGCAGGAACGGCTTGGCAGCAGCTCTTTCTTTCACCTCAGCACTCCTGTCCCCTCCTAAAGCCCCCAAATATTTACCTGACATCTTAACCCAATGCTTTTGGATTGTGATTGCCTTAAATTTGGGCAGGGGCAGAGTTGCCCCTTGTTACCATGCAGGTGGGGCCTTGCCAGGGAAATGGCGCTGCCCTGCCCTGACAGGAAGGCCCCGCTTCCTCTGAGCACCAGCCATTTCTGTATTTCCTTTCAAGAAAAAGGAAAAGGACCGCCCGGAGAGCAGTCCTGGTCGTTCCTTAAAACCCATCCAACTTCCAGCTCTGATGGAAAGCCAAGTGGCACTGTCCCACCCCTCCGGCCCCTTCCCACGGCTTGTTTGCACCGTTTCTGAGGGAAAAGCACCATGCTTGGTGCGCCGGGAGGAGCAGGCAGATACCATGGTGACAGACACCTTCCAGTACTGCGAAATCAAACAGGAACTCAGAAATCTGTGTTTTAAGGCCAAATTATATATAGGAGCAGCACATGCTTGACATCTGCTGCTGTTTCCTATTAGTGTCGTTTGCTTGATTAATCCCCCGCAGCCCGCCCAGCACAGGGAGGTACCGCTCGGGCTCTCTTTGAGGGATTCAGCAAACTCCTGCACAGGCCAGCCCTGTAGGACCTCCTGAGGAGGACAAACCTCACCGAGGTCTCACCACCAGCTAACAGGATTTAGGGCTTCATCCCGTGTACTGCAGGGCTCCCAGCCCCGTGCCTGGTGGTGTCAGGCGCTGTCTTTTTTGTGCAGGGGGTGCTCAGTCCCAGCTATGGCCGAGCTGGCAGCTCCAGATGCTTTCCACAGACATCAGAGCAGGCATGGGAATGGAAAAGGTCAAAATTAAGGCTGTATGCTGCTGGGAAAGGAACATATCGCTCACATTGATGTGATGGCTGCAACACATCTCCGGGTACATCCAGGAGAGAGGTGCCCTGCCCTCTGTCAGCTGCTTGTGACCCCTCACACCTTCATGAACTTTCAGGAGCTCGAGCAGCCAAATGCCCTTGCATGCTGCTGACTCACCTCACCTGGTATAAGGTTACATTGCATTTGGTTTTTCAGACTTTTTTTTTCCCTGTTTTACTACTGCTTATTCAATCGCCAAAGGCCACCTGCTCTAGAAACCACCAATACCAGCCTGCAGTCGGCTGAGCCCTACCACGTGCCACAGCCCCGATGATTTTGCTCGTCGAGGAGCACAGGGTTGCTGCATTACTTCACATTTCCTGGGCAGCCCCATGCCTTCCTGCAGCTCTGGTAACCACCCACCCACCTGCTCACAACACTGAAGCACAAAATATTGCCATTCCCACTTAAAAATGAACAGCATGTGGCATGGCACATGCCAGGCAAAGGACAGAGGCAATGCACGGGGCACCTTGCTCCTGTGGCTGCAGGAAGCACTCGGGGATGTTTCCATCCAGGTTGGCAGGTTTAAACATTTAAATTTAGCAAATTAATCCTTTGCTTAATTTAGAGCAGGGATAAGGAGGGAGGGTTAACAAAGAGGAGGAAATCACACCCGGCAGCTAGAGCCTAAGTGACTGCGGTCTTATTACAGCTCCTCTGCCGGCAGGAGGAGAGGTGGAGGGGAGGGAGAGCACAGAGCTGGCTCCGCAGGCACCACCAGGCTGGTGGTACAGCCACACAACAGGCCCACAGAGAGTGTAAAAAATGGTGCCCAAGTGGTTTCCCTCTAAATAATGAGCTGCAGGCAGGAGGGTGAGCCAAAGGCCAACTGCAGATTGATCAGGAAGATTTTTAAAGAGCCTCTCTTAAGTTTCTTATTTGACTTCTTTCTTATGCATCCCTGGCCAAGCCCAGTGGCAAATTCCCCTTCTCCCCTTTGGGGAATTCTCAAAAAGATAATGGTGGGGAAGGAAATAAAAAGGCACAGCTCTGTTTTCAGAAGCACCTACTGCACCTCCCTGCTCCCGGTGGGTTATGAAGGAGGGAACGAGGGAGGAACAAATCCCCTTCAATTAAAATTACTTCTTGGCCATTTTAATAGGGCAGAAGAGAAAACTGCTGAAACCCCTGAGACTTGTCATTCAGGACGCCAAAGCGGCCAGTCACGATGACTAATTTTATTCCCAGCCAGTGGGAAATGTGCTGATACA